TTGAGAGGTGGTGGCAGAGTGAGAGTCCTGTATAGACAGGTGGTGGAAGGGTGAGAGTCATGTATAGACAGGTGGTGGAAGAGTGAGAGTCCTGTATTGAGAAGTGGTGGCAGAGTGAGAGGCCTGTATTGAGAGGTGGTGGAAGTGTGAGAGTCTTGTACAGTGATCCCTCGCTATTGTGCTCTTCGATAAAGCGCTACCTCGGTTACTACGCGCGGTAACGCATGGCTTCCAAAATTTATGTACACTTTTATTACTGAGAGTTTTACACAGACATAATTGTATTGTTGTTCGTTGTTCATTTGCACATAACGCTTCTCATTGCATAATCAACCGTTTATCGCTGATGGAGTTCTAATAATCTGTTTGAAAACATCCGCGGCAAGTCCCGGAAATACGATTGTTTAACTAGTTAACTTTTCACACTATACATCCTTTGATCTTAGAAGCGCATGCATGCAATAAAAGAGAACAACAAGCGAAGTTTATATTCTTAATTAGTTGGCAATCCAATTTGAGGCGACACTGTCACACACATGTAGTTGCTGTCACAACACGGCGGTCATTCATTTCGTAATCGCGCTTTCGTAACATCGCCTGGTTTTTTTCCGTAGTTATAACAAGCGATTTCATTGGATTAAAATTTGTTTCTAATGACGCTTTCTTGCCGAAATCTGCTACAAGTTTCGTGATTGGTCAATTTTCAGCACGTGACCTCAGGCAGCCAATCAAATTATAGCTGTGATACCAAGCTCGTGTTTGATAAATTTCAGAAGTTGGCGAATTTTTTTGTGTTAAATCGTGTTATTCTGAACGTTTTAAGCAGGAAATCACGATATATATTAAAAATATGGAACTTCGCGAATGTATCGTGCTAGGTTACGAGCTGTGACAAAGATTTTTCATGCATATATTTTTGCATTAAACGTTGTGTCCGAGCCGATGATTCAAGGCGACGAAAGCCGAGATGTCATTTGACTTTAATTACACACGATCACACGAAACGATGGAAATAATAACTTAGGTGTAAGTTTGATTACTTTTAGATATATTTTTGTTGATTTTATTTATCACTTTGTATAATATATTTAAAGATTTGCTTAAAAGTCTTTATTTTGCTCTTTGACATGTTCGATGCGGACCCGTTGTCGAAATGTGTGTCCGAGAATTTTATTTTCAATAACATCGCGGGAAATAGTGAATAATTTTTTAATTTATCGATAAAAAATTATAAATTGAAATGGAATACGTATTTCAGACATTGTGAAATGTGACAGATTTAATAAATGAATGATATTCCAGGTAGATCTAGGTCCATAAAAATATATACTATTTTGACGTGACGTGAGATAAACACATATTGATGATTTGAGATTTGCCGAAAGCGCTCCCCCGCCTTGGCCTCGGTTAAACGGCTCATCGTCTATAACGCCCACCAATTATTTGGACCCCATTGGTAGCGTTGTAGCGAGGGACCACTGTATATAGAGGAAGAGGAAGAGTCCTGTATAGAGAGGTGGGGAAAGAGTGAGAGCCCTGTATAGACAGGTGGAGCCAGAGTGAGAGTCCTGTATCGAGAGGTGGTGGAAGAGTGAGAGTCCTGTATTGAGAGGTGTTGGAAGTGTTAGAGTCTTGTATATAGAGGTGGTGGAAGAGTGAGAGTCATGTATAGACAGGTGGTGGAAGAGTGAGAGTCCTGTATAGACAGGTCGGGAAGAGTGACAGTCCTGTAATAGACAGGTGGTGGAAGAGTGAGAGTCCTGTATAGACAGGGGGTAGAAGAGTGACAGTCCTGGATAGACAGGTGGTATAAGAGTGAGAGTCCTGTATAGACAGGGGGTAGAAGAGTGAGAGCCCTGTATAGAGAGGTGGTGGAAGAGTGACAGTCATTTATAGAGAGGTGGTGGAAGAGTGTCAGTCCTGTATAGAGAGGTGGTGGAAGAGTGATAGTCCTGTATTGAGAAGTGCTGGCAGAGTGAGAGTCCTGTATAGAGAGGTGGGGAAAGAGTGAGAGCCCTGTATAGACAGGTGGGGGAAGAATGAGAGCCCTGTATTGAGAGGTGGTGGAAGAGTGAGAGTCCTGTAAAGTAAGTGAGTGAGTATGGTTTTACACCGCTTTTAGCAATATTCCAGCAATATCACGGCGGGGGGACACCAGAAATGGGCTTCAGACATTGTACCCATGTCGGGAATCGAACCCGGGTCTTCAGCGTCACGAGCAAACGCTTTAACCACTAGGCTACCCGACCGCCCTGAGTCCTGTAAAGAGAGGTGGTGGAAGTGTTAGAGTCTTGTGTATAGAGGTGATGGAAGTGTCAGGGTCCTGTATTGAGAGGTGGTAGCAGAGTGAGAGTCCTGTATTGACAGGTGGGGGAAGAATGAGAGTCCTGTATTGAGAGGTGGTGGCAGAGTGAGAGTCCTGTATAGGCATGTGGTGGAAGAGTGAGAATCTTGTATAGACAGGGGGTAGAAGAGTGAGAGTCCTGTATAGACAGGTGGTAGAAAAGTGAGAGTCCTGTATAGACATGTGGTGGAAGAGTAAGAGTCCTGTATTGAGAGGTGGTGGCAGAGTGAGAGTCCTGTATAGAGAGGTGGTGGAAGAGTGAGAGTCCTGTATTGAGAAGTGCTGGAAGAGTGAGAGTCCTGTATAGAGAGGTGGTGGAAGAGTGAGAGTCCTGTATAGAGAGGTGGTGGAAGAGTGAGAGTCCTGTATTGAGAAGTGCTGGCAGAGTGAGAGTCCTGCATAGACAGGTTGGGAAAGAGTGAGAGCCCTGTATAGACAGGTGGGGGAAGAATGAGAGCCCTGTATTGAGAGGTGGTGGCAGAGTGAGAGTCCTGTATTGAGAGGTGGTGGAAGAGTGAGAGTCCTGTAAAGTGAGTGAGTGAGTATGGTTTTAAACCGCTTTTAGCAAAGAGTGACAGTTCTGTATAGAGAGGTGGTGGAAGAGTGACAGTCCTGTATAGAGAGGTGGTGGAAGAATGAGAGCCCTGTATTGAGAAGTGGTGGCAGAGTGAGAGTCCTGTATTGAGAGGTGGTGGAAGTGTGAGAGTCTTGTATATAGAGTTGGTGGAAGAGTGAGAGTCCTGTGTTGAGAAGTACTGGCAGAGTGAGAGTCCTGTATAGAGAGGTGGTGGAAGAGTGACAGTCCTGTATTGACAGGTGGGGGAAGAATGAGAGTCCTGTATTGAGAGGTGGTGGCAGAGTTAGAGTCCTGTATAGGCAGGTGGTGGAAGAGTGAGAATCCTGTATAGACAGGGGGTAGAAGAGTGAGAGTCCTGTATAGACAGGTGGTAGAAAAGTGAGAGTCCTGTATAGACATGTGGTGGAAGAGTAAGAGTCCTGTATTGAGAGGTGGTGGCAGAGTGAGAGTCCTGTATAGAGAGGTGGTGGAAGAGTGACAGTTCTGTATAGAGAGGTGGTGGAAGAGTGAGAGTCCTGTGTTGAGAAGTACTGGCAGAGTGAGAGTCCTGTATAGAGAGGTGGTGGAAGAGTGACAGTCCTGTATAGAGAGGTGGTGGAAGAATGAGAGCCCTGTATTGAGAAGTGGTGGCAGAGTGAGAGTCCTGTATTGAGAGGTGGTGGAAGTGTGAGAGTCTTGTATATAGAGTTGGTGGAAGAGTGAGAGTCCTGTGTTGAGAAGTACTGGCAGAGTGAGAGTCCTGTATAGAGAGGTGGTGGAAGAGTGACAGTCCTGTATTGACAGGTGGGGGAAGAATGAGAGTCCTGTATTGAGAGGTGGTGGCAGAGTGAGAGTCCTGTATAGGCAGGTGGTGGAAGAGTGAGAATCCTGTATAGACAGGGGGTAGAAGAGTGAGAGTCCTGTATAGACAGGTGGTAGAAAAGTGAGAGTCCTGTATAGACATGTGGTGGAAGAGTAAGAGTCCTGTATTGAGAGGTGGTGGCAGAGTGAGAATCCTGTATAGAGAGGTGGTGGAAGAGTGACAGTCCTGTATAGAGAGGTGGTGGAAGAGTGAGAGTCCTGTGTTGAGGAGTACTGGCAGAGTGAGAGTCCTGTATAAACAGGTTGGGAAAGAGTGAGAGTCCTGTATTGAGAGGTGGTGGAAGAGTGAGAGTCCTGTAAAGTGAGTGAGTGAGTATGGTTTTACACCGCTTTTAGCAATATTCAAGCAATATCACGGCGGGGGGACACCAGAAATGGGCTTCAGACATTGTACCCATGTCGGGAATCGAACCCGGGTCTTCAGCGTCACGAGCAAACGCTTTAACCACTAGGCTACCCGACCGCCCCGAGTCCTGTAAAGAGAGGTGGTGGAAGTGTTAGAGTCTTGTATATAGAGGTAATGAAAGTGTCAGAGTCCTGTATTGAGAGGTGGTGGAAGTGTGAGAGTCCTGTATAGACAGGTGGTGGAAGAGTGAGAATCCTGTATAGACAGGGGGTAGAAGAGTGAGAGTCCTGTATAGACAGGTGGTAGAAAAGTGAGAGTCCTGTATAGACATGTGGTGGAAGAGTAAGAGTCCTGTATAGACAGGTAGGGAAAGAGTGAGAGCCCTGTATAGACAGGTGGGGGAAGAATGAGAGCCCTGTATTTAGAGGTGGTGGCAGAGTGAGAGTCCTGCATCGAGAGGTGGTGGAAGAATGAGAGCCCTGTATTGAGAAGTGGTGGCAGAGTGAGAGTCCTGTATTGAGAGGTGGTGGAAGAGTGAGAGTCCTGTATTGAGAGGTGGTGGAAGTGTGAGAGTCTTGTATATTGAGGTGGTGGAAGAGTGAGAGTCCTGTATAGACAGGTGGTGGAAGAGTGAGAGTCCTGTATAGACAGGTAGGGGAAGAGTGACAGTCCTGTATAGACAGGTGGGGGAAGAGTGAGAGTCTTGTATGAGAAGTGGAGGAAGAGTGAGAGTCCTGTATAGACAGGTAGTGGAAGAATGAGAGTCCTGTACAGACAGGTGGTGGAAGAGTGAGAGTCCTGTATAGACAGGTGGTGGAAGAGTGAGAGTCCTGTATAGACAGGTGGTGGAAGGGTGAGAGTCCTGTACCTACCTGGGCCGAGGACGAGGTGCCTCAGTTGACTGGAAAAATGCCTGGAGGAAAGGGTCAAGGTGCTGACCTCTCTGAAAAATTTACAGATAACTGACATAAATACAAACAGTCCACAATCTTCTCCCAGACCCGCAAGCTGACTTTAACCCTGCTTTTGGTACTGCAGTGATATGGTGGTATGTCAATTAAATAGGAGAAAAGACCATTGTGATGGGAAGACTATTATGATTCCCTGTAGAATCCTTCTGTCTATGACCGTAGATAAGCCAATCACACAAGTCAAGCCAAAGTATTAACTTGGTCCTTAAAATCTGTATCAAAATGTTATGTGTGGTAGATAAGCCGGACCCCCAATCTAAAACTATGTCTCATCATTACCGGTACCCTTCATTGGAAATAGAATATCAACAAATCTGTACTGAATTATGCAAGTTAATCCTGTCGATACACTATCAGTTATAAAAAGTATTCATTGTATATCTGGACACATGTTTGTAATCTATTATATTATTTTGATAAAAAATAATTCAATAATATTTGCATTAAGTTCGGCAAAATCATGTGTCCCTCCGAGACTTTCAACTTCTGTTTTCCCCGTTCCATAAGGTCCACTTTACCACATACCGTGACAGCACCAACTCACCGTAATTTACAGCAACCACGATCATATTACCGCTTTTGACAGCTTGAAACAAACCTTAGTTGACAGAGAATGGATGCATATATCATAACTGCCATACACAAAAGTGCTACAGCATAACCCTGGTTATGGTTATCATTTTTTTAAAGATATATGTAGGTTATCACGCGAGTGTGTTTGGGGATGGTAAATATCCTGTATTAGGAATAAACATTGTATTTAGCGAGCCTTGGTGAGCTAAATACATGTGTTTATTCCTTACTTCTTTATAATATAATGTCATTCTTCAATTCTGTGCTTGAAATCTCTTCCCATCTCTCACAAACATTGTCTAAACATTGCAAGTTTCCTGGAATGTACGCATTAATCAGAAGGAAAGTGATGCGTCAGTTGCACAGTGACAACAGTCAACTGAAACCTGTTTCTTAAATTGCCTTAAATTGTTTCCACTTACCTTTTGAGCAATCTATCGGTCTGTCCGCTAGAGTGAGTGAGTGAGTACGTTTTTACACCGCTTTTAGCAATATTCCAGCAATATCACGGTGGGGGACACCAGAAATGGGCTTCACACATTGTACCCATGTCGGGAATAGAACCCGGGTCTTCGGCGTGACGAGCAAACGCTTTAACCACAAGGCTACCCGACCGCCCCCTGTCCGCTAGAGTAACTGCCCTTTATCAAAGGGAAGCTACTCTCACCCTAGTCTATGAGACGTCATGTTTGTTTAGCTACGTCACAGTTAGTCACTGATTTTCAGTATATTATACTTTTCTTTTGATAATCCCAGTAGTTTCTCCATTGCCGAATGACAAGGGTGACGCCATGTTTGTTTGCAAACACTGAAAGTAGTCCCTACTTGACCTTTGATATTTGCATCTCTATCCAACACCAATGGATATCATATTTATCCGTTTGCTTTATCCTGCCAAGAAACCTATTCATTACATGATAAATAGTACAACCTGCAATTAAAATAACATGATATCAGAATATTGTAAAGAGTAATATAGTAAATAAGCAGTGTTAGATACTATTTTTTTCAATCACTGGATCAAAATTCTTTACCGTTATATATTATTGGGTCATTTTTAACCTAATCACTGGAAGAATGGGAGAAAACGTGTGCAGAGCCGATTGCTATTTCCTCCTTAGTTTACATGACAATACACATGGTAATATCTATTCCTGCATATAAAACAATGCCTAGCATAACAAGAAATACAATCAATTTGGTAAATCATCATGTCTAGTGATGTTTAATCGTAAATTTCACATTTTCATTGACAAAGTTTGTTATAGAGTTGTTCATTCACCTGAAACTATATGATGTAGTTTTTTTACCAACAGAAAAAGAGTTTGATGAAAGTGTACCGTAACCTTCACATAAGCTGACCCTTTTCTACAGAATCTTTTTTCTGGTTCTCAAAATTTGGCTTGTCTACGGTCATATACGGTAACATGCTTGCTTTTTGAGAGAATTTAAGGCCGTAAAGATTGAATTAAGTTAAAATGAGTAAAATCTAAATATTTTGTACATTTGTAAACTTATCCTGCATTTCTCCTTAATGCATCTACTGCTTACCTTACGACAAAGAAAATAGCACCTAGTGATGGTCCTTGATGAAGAAAACATTTTGTTTTCTCTTTCAGTCTGCTTTTGCAAGGACCCATCGCCGCTGTCATGTGACCGTCTGCCATGACGTCACATCTGGTCACATTGCTGCTTGTCACTCGTGCTAAAGAAATTCTGAAGCTATAGTGGGGAGGCAGGTCTGCCATGGGCGGGCGCTCAGATGAAGTTATGCAGGATAAGAATACAAATGTAAAGATTATATAGATTTGACTAAATTTGTTACTTATCCTTCATTACTCCCTAAAGCATCTGTATCAGTCGGTATGGTGGAGGGTATACCTTCAGATGTAAAGCTCAATATAAATACGCTCTTTAAGCGACATGCTTGTCAAATGAACTATATGGCAAGTCAAACGGTTATAATCGTTCATTCTTATCCATCTGAAAGTAACAAGAATTGAGGAAAAGTCCACGTAAACAAACAGTAAAAAGAAATTAGCAAAAGCTAAAATCTAACAAACTTTGTTACCGAGCCAAAGCTAAAAAGCCTGATAATTCCCCCTAACATGCATCTACAAAAAACACTCCTCGAGTTGGGCAAGACTCCGGACTGGAAGAGTTCATTATTTGCGTTGGGGGTGCCAAAGTGCCAAAGCTACAAACACCTTCAACTTCTTCAAGTGTCACATCTCAAAGATTATGGCTGGCGAAGACAGTGTCGGACCTCCAAAAACATCCTTCCATGATTGCTCTAATAGAACAGTTGCTATGTAGAACCATGGTTGAGGTGACCACTCTGATCTCGTAAGGATTATTCGCTCTCAAAGGATCAAGGTTAGCGATGTCATGAGCCTGCAGGACACCATACGACATGGTGTTGTGACCAACTTCGGTTGTGGACATCTGGAATACGGGAATAAACAACTGTGTCCTCTAGCCACACCTAGTTTTGAAGCGGTGGATGAAAACTCGTAGTGCGCATATAGGACACAAGAGGAGTTCACCCTCATCTTCGACCCCCACAATCATAGAGATTGGTGAAGGGCCGGTCAGGTTGTCCTGGAGGCTGATTCTTTGCAATGAAATCCCAGCACAGCCCGAGGTGAACTGCTCACTGCGTACCATGCTCAAATCAGTAATGTTGAGTGCGTGTAACTCACTAACCCACGCCGCAGTGGCTAAGGCCAAGTGAAAATTTGTCTTCTTAGTGAGGTCGAAAAAGGATGATGCGTTGAGGGGCTCAAAGGGGGCCCTCACAATGCTCGAAGTACCACATTCAAATCCCAAGCGACGGCACAGAATTTAGCCTTCTGATCCTCAAGCCTGAAAGAGTGTAGGGGCCTGTAGTTCTGGAACTTTGATCATTTTGCAATTCTCCAGAATGGGCTACACTGAATTAAGTGCTACCAAATATGTTGTAATGGTGCTGCCTTTCAAGTGTTGTTTGGTACACATGTGTAGGAGGTACTCGGCTAAGAATTGAGGGGACGCTGTAGTGAGATCTTGATTCTTTGCCTTACAAAAGGTTTCAAACATTTGCCACATGTCATTGTACGTCAAGTCTCATTAATCGGACACTTGTTAATCCGACAGTCTGCTTTATACAACACTAACAATGGGAACCAATTAAATCAGTGCTATTTAGACCCGTTAATCAAACAGTTCCGCACTCCGACTCCAACACACCTAATTTGCAACGAATTACCGAGATCACTCATTAATCAGTCTTGTTAATCCGACACAGTGATCAGCATACTCCGTGGTCATCTGCCCGCGAGTACACAGCCTGTGTTTTGATGTGAGACGAATCGGCTGGTAGCTGCATATTACAACGGCTGCAGAGATAAACTTGCTTAACAATAAACAATTAATGCTTTAAATAAAGAAAACAGGATAAATCACATGCTTAGATTACCTCAATCTTATTAAAATCAGATACAAGTTCTCGCTATCGATGAGGACATCCCATTACAGGTCACGTCAGAACAACCTTTCGCGAACTATTCATTATCAATGAAATGACCAACAGGAAGTCGACGTCAGCCACTTAGAAAGCAGCTTTCTTAAGCTTTGCAGAACCAGTTTCAAAGTTGCGACTTCCATTCCAGACTATGCTTTTTAAAGTATTTTGAACAAGTATTTGTCACAGAAGTGACGAAATGTCCCCCGCCTGTATATACACCATAGTACCAAATATGAAGACAATCCAGCGATTACTTCTTGAGATATCGCGGCAACACCGTTTTCTAACTGCAAAAGCAGATTTACCTGCTGTGACCTTGAAAATGGGGTCAAGGTCACCAAAACCAACTGGTGTCTGGGGTGTCTGTATATACACCATAGTTCCAAATATGAAGACAATCCAGCGATTACTTCTTGAGATATCGCGGCAACACCGTTTTCCAACTCCAAAAGCAGATTTACCTGCTGTGACCTTGAAAATGGGGTCAAGGTCACCAAAACCGACTGGTGTCTGCGGAGTCTGTATATACACCATAGTTCCAAATATGAAAACAATCCAGTGTTTAGTTCTTGAGATATCGCGGCAACACCGTTTTCAAACTCAAAAAGCAGATTTGCCTGCTGTGACCTTGAAAATGGGGTCAAGGTCACCAAAACCGACTGGTGTCTGCGGTGTCTGTATATACACCATAGTTCCAAACATGAAGACAATCCAGTGTTTAGTTCTTGAGATATCGCGGCAACAAACAGGTGGGACGTACGGACGGACAGACGGACGGACGGTCGTGAATACTATATCCCCCGCTTCGCGCTTTCGCGCGGCGGGGGATAATAAGTCATAAACTTAAACTTTAGAGGTTGCATGATTAGAAAACATATTCCACAACAATGTAACATAACAATATGAATATTTATTTTATATTTTTTATTATGTGTTTGAATCCTTATCTATCGTGTAGTTGTCCGATTTTCGATCACGAACGTTGATACAACTTAATTTCGTTTATCCGACATACTCGTTAATCCGACATAATCAAATGCAACCATTATCGGATTAACGGGACTTGACTGTATAAGCCCCAGGTAGAAGGACGATGTGCCAAAGCAATGGCCTTAGCGGCCCATGCTGAATAGCCTTTAGCGCCCTTTTAAGAAGAACCAAGCATGCAGATGAAATCTGCCCAGGCGTTGGGGGGTTCTGATGTGTTGAGAAGAGGTCGATGTTGGTTTGACTGAAGCGTTAATGCACCACTTGAAATGTGGAGTTTTTCCATAGAACTTGTGAACTTGCCAGCATGAGCACCTCCAACTCGAGGGTGTTGATGTTCCAGGTACATTGGACCACCGCCCTGAGGCTATCTGGTTCTGTTGGTGTGCACCCCACCCCTGAAAGGAGGCATCTACTAACAGGTGTAGTTCTGTGGCTAGGTGAGATGGTAGAGTTATGACTGTTGTATTGGGTGTAGGTGTAATCGACCTCTGCTTGTCAAGTCCTGGGCTGATGTGAGATATCCCAGCAACACTTGCCACTGGCAAATGTATAAGTGGCTGTCGAAGAGCGGGTAGCAGATTGTTGTCCACTACTACAGGAGGGCTTCTGGTCAAGTCTGGATAAGACGTGGAAAATGGTGTTTGTAAGCGAACCAAATGCCAGTTCCCATGTAGACTAAATAAGTGCACTCCTCAACCAATTGCCAAGAAACGACGCTGCATAGGTGCTCCCATTCTTATAACGAGTTTGACAATGAAGGGAGGTGCCTTGTTACTTCATGTGTGCTCCGATTCTGTGCATGTTCACATCAGCGGTCTACGGAAGTTAGTGACTCAGTCACATTGATGTACAGCGATAGGCCTCTGAACAAAAGGTTGCAGGATTTCATACCAGTAAGCATTAGTGGTGGGACAATACACCAAAGCATTTTTTACTTCTCAATACAAGTATCGATCACAGTCAAACAATAAGTAAAAATATCAATTCTGACCTTAAATGTTTGATTTAATAACTGTTCCACTAAACACTAATCCATGGTGCAAGCTAATTGTGAAAACATAAATATTTTAATTTGTTGTGCCATACTTCACACTGCCAACTGTAAATGATCAGTGTGCCAGGTATTTGGCTTTGCTGTCAGTGAAAAAGATGGCTTACGCACCACAGATAGAGCACATGCAAGTATTGTGATACATATCAGATTGTGAGTAAGGTATCGTGATATGTATTTGATCGCACAGTTGGTGTATCGTCCCAGCCCTAGTAAGCATGCAAACCAATCTGGTACAATGATCCTGCACGGCTTAGCTGACCGTAGTCGGGATGTCACAGTCAGAGTTCTTGATCCATGATATTTAAATCACCCTCTGCAGTAGCCTCGAATCTCACAGTATGCCAGAGGTGAGATCCAAGCTCCACACACTGACAGTGCATTGTGAACTGTGTGGTGTTTCCGAGTTCTGTGTAGGATGTGTGACTTGGCCGGTAAGCCGCAAATTGATCTCTATGATATTTTTTACGCCTGGCGCTGTCCTGTCACCTGTGTACCCACCTGTTGGGATCATCGTACACAGGACTCCTGTGTACGATGATCCCAACAGGTGGGTACCCAGTAGCATATGATCATTCTGTCAAATGTCTAACCAATTTTGTGTGAAAGTGTGAAGCTTTTTAAGTTTGGTACCAGACATCACATGAATCAAATTCAACAAAAGTACTAACGTCTCTCCGTGGAATCGTTTGGCAAATGCTGAGCGTACACCGCTAGATGGGAGAATTGAACTTTCACAGATCCCTTAGCATGAGGCCAGGCACTGCCAAAGGTTAAGGAAAATCAGACCTCAAGGCCTGGAATGAGGCGAACCTAACATCTTGGATGAGCCAGTCATCTTCTGGGGGTCCTCTTCCAAGATAAGGGTCTGGTCAGCCACTTCAAACTCATGAATAGGAGAGTCATCTTTCCTAAACTCCTGGGAACCTGACATCTTCCTCTCGAAACAAGAGGACTGCTGTAGAATATGATTGTGCATGACCTGTATACTCCTGTAACTTGTGAAACTTGATGGGGCAAAGAGGTGAACAAAAATTACATCTTACATTTGGAGTGCACACCTAAGTGTAAACCAAACAACTTTGATGAGAATCTTTAGATGATTTTGTGCCACGACAATTAATGCACCGCACAAGCATAAGTAACGAAAAACTTGAAGTTGTAGTGAAAGTAGACTTGTGCATACCGATAAATAAACCAATGTTTATATCGGAAAAATTTTGAATTTAATTTGTATTAAAATACAAACGTGAAATCTTTAGATAATGCCAAAAAGGCAAAAGGTATTTCCACATACACCTTGTAATACCTAGCCAAGAATTGTAAACAATAATGACTGCCCTGAATATAGGAGACAAACGTGTAACCCAATTACAAAATGGCGGGAAAATGACAGTCTTTTCACATGGAAAACATACATATTAATACACAAAAAGCGAACATAATATGATAAGGTATATTTCACACGTTGCAGACAAATTTAACGTGGCAGCAGAGCGCTAACCACAAAATTAAGCCAAATGCACATGTCTGTTTGGCATGTGAGGAATGTGATCAGATGTGATGTCGTAACAGACAGTCACATGACAGCGGAGATACGTCCTTGCAAAAGTAGACTGAAAACGGAAACAACATTTTTTCTTCATCAAGGACCATCGCTAGGTGATGTGTTCTTTGTCGTATGGTAAGCAGTAGAGGAGTAATGCAGGATAAGTATATCATATTATAACAAAAAAGGAAACATATAATGTAAGGCCCAACTACTAACTCCACCAAATTTCATTACCTTCTGTTAAATAGTGACCAAGTGGTGGCCATTAACAGCTTGTTATAAAATGTTGGCCATTTTGAAAATTGGAATTAAATCTCTAAAACAAACTCATATGCCATTATTGGCAGGAACAAGTACATGAAGTTTCAGCGTCACTCTCGTGGTTTCTGGGGAGAATATGTTTACAGGTGCCAGACCCTGGACAAGCAGGCTAAAACATAAGTTCATTTCTCCTGCAGTCAGGTGAATTAAAAATTGTTGAATCCATACCTCTTTGACAAGTTTCATTGGCATTGCCTTGACAAGTTTGCCTGCAACAACAAAATAGAGGAGATGCAGCAGTATGTATCTGATGTGCCTGCAGTACATCAATGTAACATGGCCAGCAAGTGAAGGCTCATTTTCACTGAATGGGTTACAAGGAATCCATGATTCCTCCATGAGATCTCAGGTTTCAGTCCATGCTTACCTAAGTTAATGTCAGTGAAGAGGCCTGTGGTAAACTCCTCCTTGTCTGAAGACAGAAATCTCTTCAACAGTTCACTCCCCTTAAGGTGCGGTTTTGTCAGTAGCTTCTGCAAACATATTCAGTTGAACATTTGAGAATACAGCATAAATCTTAACAACTCATTATTACGAACTGTTTGATTGGCATTCTAGAAGATGGCGCACATACAATTAAACCTCCCATCTCACCTGAATATATAATATACCTTTCCATCTCACCTGCTCATACAATATACCTCCCATCTCACCTGAACATAAAATATACCTCCATTCTCAACTGAACATACAATATACCTCCAATCCCACCTGAATATACAATATACCTTTCCATCTCACCTGCACATACAATATACCTCCCATCTCACCTTAACATACAATATACCTCCCATCTCACCTGCACATACAATATACCTCTCATCTCACCTGAACACACAATATACCAACCATCTCACCTGCACATACAATATACCTCCCATCTCACCTGCACATACAATATACTCCCCATCTCACCTGACCATACAATATACCTCCCATCTCACCTGAACACACAATATACCAACCATTTCACCTGCACATACAATATACCTCCAATCTCAACTGCACATACAATATACCTCCCATCTCACCTGCACATACAATATACCTCCAATCTCACCTGAACGTACAATATACCTCCCATCTTCTCCCATCTCACCTGAACATACAATATACTACCCATCTGCTCCCATATCACCTGAACATACAATATACTTCCCATCTGCTCCCATATCACCTGCACATACAATATACTTCCCATCTGCTCCCATATCACCTGAACATACAATATACTTCCCATCTCCTCCCATCTCACCTGCACATACAATATACTTCCCATCTGCTCTCATCTCACCTGAACGAACAATATACCTCCCATCTCACCTGAACATAAAATATACCTCCCATCTCAACTGAACATACAATATACCTCCAATCCCACCTGAATATACAATATACCTTTCCATCTCACCTGAACATACAATATACCTCCCATCTCACCTTAACATAAAATATACCTCCCATCTCAACTGAACATACAATATACCTCCCATCTCACCTGAACACACAATATACCATCTCACCTGCACATACAATATACCTCCCATCTCACCTGCACATACAATATACTCCCCATCTCACCTGACCATACAATATACCTCCCATCTCACCTGAACACACAATATACCAACCATCTCACCTGCACATACAATATACCTCCAATCTCACCTGCACATACAATATACCTCCCATCTCACCTGAACATACAATATACCTCCCGTCTGCTCTCATCTCACCTGAACATACAATATACTACCCATCTGCTCCAATATCACCTGAACATACAATATACTTCCCATCTCCTCCCATCTCACCTGAACATACAATATACTTCCCATCTCCTCCCATCTCACCTGAACATACAAAATACTTCCCATCTCCTCCCATCTCACCTGAACATACAATATACTTCCCATCTGCTCCCATCTCACCTGAACATACAATATATACTTCCCATCTGCTCCAATCTCACCTGAACATACAATATACTTCCCATCTGCTCCCATCTCACCTGAACATACAATATACTTCCCATCTCCTCCCATCTCACCTGAACATACAATATACTTCCCATCTCCTCCCATCTCACCTGAACATACAATATATACTTCACATCTGCTCCCATCTCACCTGAACATACAATATATACTTCCCATCTGCTCCCATTTCACCTGAAAATACAATACACTTTCCATCTGCTCCCATCTCACCTGAACATACAATATATACTTCCCATCTGCTCCCATCTAACCTGAAAATACAATACACTTTCCATCTGCTCCCATCTCACCTGAACATACAATATACTTCCCATCTCCTCCCATCTCACCTGCACATACAATATACCTCCCATCTCACCTGAACATACAATATACTTCCCATATCCTCCCATCTCACCTGAACATACAATATATACTTCCCATCTCCTCCCATCTCACCTGCACATACAATATACTTCCCATCTGCTCCCATCTCACCTGCACATACAATATACCTCCCATCTCACCTGAACATACAATATACTTCCCATCTCCTCCCATCTCACCTGAACATACAATATATACTTCTCATCTCCTCCCATCTCACCTGAACATACAATATACTTCCCATCTGCTCCCATCTCACCTGAACATACAATATACTTCCCATCTCCTCCCATCTCAGCTGAACATACAATATACTTCCCATCTCCTCCCATCTAACCTGAACATACAATATACTTCCCATCTCACCTGCACATACAATATACCTCCCATCTCACCTGAACATACAATATACCTCCCATCTGCTCCCATCTCACCTGAACATACAACATACTTCCCATATCCTCCCATCTCACCTGAACATACAATATACTTCCCATCTCACCTGCACATACAATATACCTCCCATCTCACCTGAACATACAATATACTACCCATCTGCTCCCATCTCACCTGCACATACAATATACCTCCCATCTCACCTGAACATACAATATACTTCCCATCTCCTCCCATCTCACCTGAACATACAATATACTTCCCATCTCCTCCGATATCACCTGAACATACAAAATACTTCCCATCTCCTCCCATCTCACCTGAACATACAATATACTTCCCATCTGCTCCCATCTCACCTGAACATACAATATACTTCCCATCTCCTCCCATCTCACCTGAACATACAATATACTTCCCATCTCCTCCCATCTCACCTGAACATACAATATACTTCCCATCTCCTCCCATCTCACCTAAACATACAATATATATACCCCATCTGCTCCCATCTCACCTGAACATACACTATATACTTCCCATCTCCTCCCATCTCACCTGAACATACAATATACTTCCCATCTGCTCCCATCTCACCTGAACATACAATATATATACTTCCCATCTGCTCCCATCTCACCTGAACATACAATATACTTCCCATCTGCTCCCATCTCACCTGAAAAAACAATACACTTTCCATCTGCTCCCATCTAACCTAAACATACAATATACTTCCCTTCTCCTCCCATCCACCTGAACATACAATATACCTCCCATCTCCTCCCATCTCACCTGAACATACAATATACTTCCCTTCTCCTCCCATCTCACCTGAACATACAATATACTTCCCATCTCCTCCCATCTCACCTGAATATACAATATACCTCCTACATCACCTGAACATACAATATATACTTCCCATCTGCTCCCATCTCACCTGAACATACAATATACTTTCCATCTCCTCCCATCTCACCTGAACATACAATATACTTCCCATCTGCTCCCATCTCACCTGCACATATAATATATACTTCCCATCTGCTCCCATCTCACCTGAACATACAATATACCTCCCATCTCCTCCCATCTCACCTGAACATACAAAATACTTTCCTTCTGCTCCCATCTCACCTGCACATACAATATACTTCCCATCTCACCTGCACATACAAAATACTTCCCTTCTGCTCCCATCTCACCTGCACATACAATATACTTCCCATCTCCTCCCATCTCACCTGAACATACAATATACTTCCCTTCTCCTCCCATCTCACCTGAACATACAATATACTTCCCATCTCCTCCCATCTCACCTGCACATACAATATACTTCCCATCTGCTCCCATCTCACCTGCACATACAATATATACTTCCCTTCTGCTGCCATCTCACCTGAACATACAATATACTTCCCATCTCACCTGAACATACAAAATACTTCCCTTCTGCTCCCATCTCACCTGAACATAGAAAATACTTTCTCTTCTGCTCCCATCTCACCTGAACATACAATATACTTCCCATCTGCTCCCATCTCACCTGAACATACAATATATACTTCCCATCTCCTACCATCTCACCTGCACATACAATATACTTCCCATCTGCTTCCATTTCACCTGAACATACAATATATACTTCCCATCTCACCTGAACATACAATATACCTCCCATCTGCTCCCATCTCACCTGCACATACAAAATACTTTCCTTCTGCTCCCATCTCACCTGCACATACAATATACTTCCCATCTGCTCCCATCTCACCTGCACATGCAATATACTGCCCATCTCCTCTCATCTCACCTGAAAATACAATATATATACTCGGACCCCATGGTACCGCGGCATTCATCGTATCGCGGCATTTGTGATTTCCGATAGTTCACGCGGGACACGCCTCTTAGCGGCTGTCTATTAATGCAAATCAGTAACCAGGAAGTGCTCACCTTGTAAACAATTTCAATTTCCTCGGAATGTTCCGTCTGCTTTAAGTTAGGAGTTATTAATGCGTTGATACATATTTCTGGCATCTTTTGTAATATTGCCTTACCCCCATCTATCAATGGCCAACGATATAACCCGTAGTTCCCCAAGTAAACTTTTTCGATCGACCTGAACTAGATCATCTGCATATTCATGGCGACTAATGAGGTAACGGAAGTTACGTAGTCCGCACATTTTTCCCCGCTCTGTGCCCAGAATCTATTGGGATATCATAAGGGCCATAATGCCAAACTTAGAAATACGTTCTTCACTAGTAACCAAAAGATAAATACATACTTTGGGCATACTAGGAGTGCTTTTTATATATTTATTGTTGACTTTTAACATTTTTCAATTTTTTGACAAATTATTGTCATCCAATTTTTTTTAAACAATCTTAAAATATCATTTCTGATATATTGATGTTGACTTATAAAAATATTTTTCTCTTACTTTTCGGTAAATATGCATTGAATACCTCTTGCTGATAACACATTTAGAATTTTACTTGTGCTGTCTTTGCACTTGTCTGGACAAATCACTGATGTCTGGCATGATCATACCAAGTGGTTGGTAGAATTATGTCCTTTTTTTTGTCCAATTCGGACCTCCATACACAACTTTTCTCTGTACCGCGATACGATGGAGTTCTCTCCCTTGTCAAACAGAGCGCGAGGCCGGCTTTTACTTGGAGCTACTAATGTAAATAATGAACTTTTATCAGTAAAATATGCATTGTTTGATAACATGAATGATATCTGATACAGAGAACACGAATAAACATAAAGGTCAGTGAGTGCATTTTGTTCCGTTTAGCGTACATGACAAGTACCGCGATACCCTGAGGTTGCAGGCTACTTCCCATCTCACCTGAACATACAAAATACTTCCCTTCTGCTCCCATCTCACCTGAACATACAAAATACTTCCCTTCTGCTCCCATCTCACCTGAACATACAATATACTTCCCATCTGCTCCAATCTCACCTGAACATACAATATACTTCCCTTCTCCTCCCATCTCACCTGAACATACAATATACCTCCCATCTCCTCCCATCTCACCTGCACATACAATATACTTCCCTTTTGCTACCATCTCACCTGAACATACAATATACTTTCCATCTGCTCCCATCAACATGAACATACAATATACTTTCCATTTGCTACCATCTCACCTGTACATACAATATACCTCCCATCTCACCTGCACATACAGCTCAAAGACTTCTCTCCTTCCCTCAATGAATTCCTGGTTTTTAGTACCAAATGTCTTTTTGGGAGGCAGCTGGCAGTCAAATTCTCCATGGAATTCTACCAGCTTTTGCTCCAGCACATAGAACTCTGTGTAGCGTCTGCAAATTAGGCAAGCAAGCCTTGTTTATTTCAGGTGTTAATTAAACTTGAATATATCTTTTAAGACCAAGACTGCTTATTCTCTGAGGTACTTCAAAACATACGCTCTGTTCCTCATATGTCTTCTTACCTAAAAAGCCCTCACTTTACATTATGGGAATCTGTGATTATTATTATATCTCCATTCTATGATAAATACCCTATCCCCACCAAACCTTCATTTCTCAAGTGTCATCTTACTCCCACTGACTTAGTACAGGATTCTCCTTACCATGAGGTTGAATTCAACATGGAATGAAAAGGACTCCTCTGAATGAGATTTGAGCATGGAACTACAATTAACGTTGAGGTCTTATTCAATGTTAAAAATGAATAGAAAGACTGTTATCAAAGAATGTGTAAGAGTGTTGGTATGAAGAGGGGCGTGTGTTCTCATGCTACCACAGGGCACCCAGTTGTGAATGTCAGCAACAAGGCAACGAGTACTGGGGACACGGCTTCTTGTTTCGCTAATGCAAGAACAGAGAAATTTGACTGGCTAGCTGTGTTTAGCATCATGTCATTAAACCAGACTCAACACAAAGCCATAGTTCAGGGTATTTATCCTAATAGAATGAAGTTATAATACACTGGACAAAAGGGATGGAGTTTGGGAAATACACCTTACCTTGCTACAATCCAGTTGGACCTCTCAGACACACCTGAACAGAAAATCATATTTGTCTGTCAATAACATGAAATAGTTACTGTTCTTCCTTTACATCAAACAGACTAAGACACACGTGAAATAATGATGTATAATGTCTTGGTTAGAGCAGAGGGACTTGGGGTCTAATTGTTGAAATGGTTTGTTATAAGTCCGAGGCATGGAGCTTGGGTTATGCAATGCCTGTTCACACTTCCAACATTACACAGGCTGGAACACATTTACCAATCACATAACTTGTCCATGTTGATGGGCCCCCGGAGGGTCAATGTATAGAAGACCATACAAAATAAAACACAAAAACATCCATTCATCAACAGATTAACAAGTAGTTTTGATGTTAGGAAATATTTTATTGTTCATGAGACAGAATTTCTTCCATGTCGCTGTCAGTGACGTAAAAAGAAGAGTGAGAGAGTTGGGTTTCACTCTACTTTTTACAGTATTCCAGTTTTTCCTAGGTGGAAAGCTCACAGTGATCAAAAAGGTCTCAAACTTTGACCTTTTTGGTAAAACACAGAAGCACTGGTATGATGCTGACAAACCTAGAAACATAATCAGGGTGAACTGGGATTCGAACTGATGAGGTTTTTGGTGTGCTCATGGGACTCAACTCTGCACAGTAAATTGTGACGACTGGGCCACCAATGAACCCAGAAATAGAAGAAGGTCCATCATCGCCTTGTGGTGTTTTACTAACAATCAAGATAGTGACTGTTTTTTCTTGTGTAAAGTGTTCACTGCTTTAAAAAGGAAAGTAAATGGGGGAGCACAATACATGCAAAGAATGAGTTTTGATTATTGTTCCAAATGTACATTAACATGAACATGTAACACAGGAAAGAGCATTCAACAATTTGGCTATGAAGTACACAAGTTAGTCCTGTTATTAAACTGTTATATGGCCTTATTTCTTTAATTTATTATATTAATTTTCATTTAAAATTTTATTCACTATTGTTCACATTCATTTCAGCCAAACCGTGTTAGCCAAATCGCACAAACCCACCATTATTTATTATTTACTGCAACCACTATCACATTATAACTATTGACTCCTCGATACATATCTTATTTGTCAGAGAATGGATACATATATCATAAATGCCACATTTTGAATTGTAAAAGTCTTTTGTTGTTTGGCTATTGTTTGTGAATATATAGATTTCGCGGTCAAAACAGCAAGGCGACAGGAACCCCCAAATGGTGACTCGTCAAACTGTTCATATAAAACATTTCCGGCACATATCAAAGAGTTACACTTATGGTTGTTTTTATTTGAACAACATAGAGTAAATGTAACAACTATTCCTGCTACAATAACAGTTTCGGAAACAATTTCACATCATTGCATTGACATTGTTTTCATTTCAAATAGTGGGTATCTTTGAATCACTGATAGATCTGGGAGAAAATGTGGGTCGAGCTAACTGCTTTTCTGGATTCTTTAAAGAGACAATTACTCACAATAACCCTAATCTCTGCACATAAAACAATATTTAGGAAAACACAACTGAAATTGTAGAACTTTATGTCTAGTGATGTTTTATTGTAATATCTACATTTTCATTTATCAAGTTTATTATCTCCCGCTTGTTCACCTAAAACAGTATGTTAAAGATGTACCTAATAATGGGGTGGGTGTGTTCTACGTAGTGCACACTACACACAAGATGGTACTGCCCAGACAAAAGCAGCAGTGTTTAAGGCTGTGTTGACAATACTGTTTCCATGGTTGCCTTGCTGCTGGAATTAATGTTTCTGAAATTAACTATGTTTTATGTCAGCAGTCCTACCTTCCGGTACATCAACACGTCTGACATCAATGATGAATACAAAGAACTGTTTCTTAGGGTTGTCTGGGTCTGGGCGAGCACCGATCCGAGGGACAGTGACCCGCCAGGTGCTCAGGTCATGTTTGGGAGGGTCTGGTAGGTCCAGTGGGTCATCCATCTCCTCATCCACATTGGTGGCTGACTGAAACATAATGTGGTACAGCTGGAGATATCTGTATACACCTGTCATACAGGTAAGTACATTGCAAACCATGCATGCCCTGCCTGGGGTACAGCTGGAGACATCTGTATACACCTGTCATACAGGTAAGTACATCGCAGACCTTGCATGCCCTGCCTGGGGTACAGCTGGAGACATCTGTATACACCTGTCATACAGGTAAATACATCACTGACCATGCATGCAATGCCTGGGGTACAGCTGGAGACATCTGTATACACCTGTCATACAGGTAAGTACATCGCAGACCATGCATGCCCTGCCTGGGGTACAGCTGAAGACATCTGTATACACCTGTCATACAGTTAAATACATCACTGACCATGCATGCCCTGCCTGGGGTACAGCTGGAGACATCTGTATACACCTGTCATACAGGTAAATACATCACTGACCATGCATGCCCTGCCTGGGGTACAGCTGGAGACATCTGTATACACCTGTCATACAGGTAAATACATCACTGACCATGCATGCCCTGCCTGGGGTACAGCTGGAGACATCTGTATACACCTGTCATACAGGTAAATACATCACTGACCATGCATGCCCTGCCTGGGGTACAGCTGGAGACATCTGTATACACCTGTCATACAGGTAAATACATCACTGACCATGCATGCCCTGCCTGGGGTACAGCTGGAGACATCTGTATACACCTGTCATACAGGTAAATACATCACTGACCATGCATGCCCTGCCTGGGGTACAGCTGGAGACATCTGTATACACCTGTCATACAGGTAAATACATCAATGACCATGCATGCCCTGCCTGGGGTACAGCTGGAGACATCTGTATACACCTGTCATACAGGTAAATACATCGCTGACCATGCATGCCCTACCTGGGGTACAGCTGGAGACATCTGTATACACCTGTGGTACGGTATTCAATTTACTCTAAACATTTGTTATTTAAAGCTACCAGTGTATTTCTAAAGGGTTATACTTCATTAATTAGTGACCCAGTTTATTCTTAACAACAAGGATGCATCTGTGTGTAAAAGACACATGGACCTTCATCTACAGTCCTTTGATGGCATTAGCAGATCAGTCAAGTAACACATTCCTCTCATGCTAACTCAAACTTAACTTCAGTCAAACACCATCAAATGTTGATGTGTCTAACTTACAGCTGTCTCGAAGTAAAAATTGGTCCCTGTGTATACTTTCTTTATTCATCATTTGTGGTTGTGTCGAACCTCGAAGAATAACTCAACATACTTTCAAAAGTCCCTTCAAAATGGACACAACGGAGTTTGACTGTTTTGAGATCAATCTGTCTTTCATTGGTTTCCCCACCCTCAACCATTCCAACTGCTGTAGCCTCTCCTACAAGGAACTGATTATAATACTGAGCCCTCCACAAGCAGACAGTTTCCCCACCCTCAACCATTCCAACTGCTGTAGCCTCTCCTACAAGGAACTGATTATAATACTGAGCCCTCCACAAGCAGACAGTTTCCCCACCCTCAACCATTCAAACTGCTGTAGCCTCTCCTACAAGGAACTGATTATAATACTGAGCCCTCCGAAAGCAGACAGTTTCCCCACCCTCAACCATTCCAACTGCTGTAGCCTCTCCTACAAGGAAATGATTATAATACTGAGCCCTCCACAAGCAGACAGTTTCCCCACCCTCAACCATTCCAACTGCTGTAGCCTCTCCTACAAGAAACTGATTATAATACTGAGCCCTCCACAAGCAGACAGTTTCCCCACCCTAAACCATTCCAACTGCTGTAGCCTCTCCTACAAGGAACTGATTATAATACTGAGCCCTCCACAAGCAGACAGTTTCCCCACCCTCAACCATTCCAACTGCTGTAGCCTCTCCTACAAGGAACTGATTATAATACTGAGCCCTCCACAAGCAGACAGCTTCCCCACCCTCAACCATTCCAACTGCTGTAGCCTCTCCTACAAGGAACTGATTACAATACTGAGCCCTCCACAAGCAGACAGTTTCCCCACCCTCAACCATTCCAACTGCTGTAGCCTCTCCTACATGGAACTGATTATAATACTGAGCCCTCCACAAGCAGACAGTTTCCCCACCCTCAACCATTCCAACTGCTGTAGCCTCTCCTACAAGGAACTGACTAAATACTGAGCCCTCCACAAGCAGACAGTTTCCCCACCCTCAACCATTCCAACTGCTGTAGCCTCTCCTACAAGGAACTGATTATAATACTGAGCCCTCCACAAGCAGACAGGTCTGTATCACTTACAGTCATAGCTGGTGGAAGGTCAAGGTCGTCGAGGCTGTCCATGCTTCCCGTCTTGTCCTCTGCAAGTAGAAGGCCCGAGTATGTACAATGTTGCTCACACTGTCTTACAACTGCCTGTAGTTTGTCAGCATGTAACAGTTCCACTTACAGTAAGAAAACCAAGTTGGAATTATGAGTAAAAAACTGATGCATTCGTGCTAGTGACATGTTGTCCTAGCCAATCTAAATGCATGTTGTGAATCATGCTGACATACCTGATGAGGTTTTGAAGACCTCCTTCAGTTTATTGCCAAAGTGTGAGAGTCCAAATTCTTTCTTTTTTGCCTGTCTGAAATGACACAGCACAATCCCATCAGTTCTTGCATGTACACATAATCCAATTGTACTATTATCAGTTCTCTACTACAGGCTACCAGTAACAGTTACATGTGACTACATTATCTGATACTATATCCATTATGAACATGACTTCCTTACTGACTGTGACTTAAACTAAAAAAATGCTCACTCCATGAAAGGGCAACAATTTAGACACACTGAGGTTTACATGTAAGTAGCTACTGTGTAGGTACAGAAGCTCCCCTTCACTAGATGACATAAAACTTGTGTGATTGGAATGGGTTAAACTAGTTAAGTTGTCTTTGAATCACATCACCCAACACTTAGATACCATAAACAATTCTAACAAACACCTTTAAATTACCTCATCATGTTCACACTTTCCAGGGGACATTGATGAATAAAAATGTTTTCAACATTCTTTGTACCACTCAAATACAACAGTGGCATGGTACTGCATGTAGCTCACCTGGATATGTAGCCAAGGGTTTAGAATATTAACAAATTGACAGGCATATAACAAAAGTTACTGTCAACATTGATATTCAAATATTTTCTGCATACTGACTACACGTTATAATCCTTCTGATTTTAGCACAATGTGTCATCATACAGAGATACATACCTGCAGTCCAGTTTCCTCGTCTGGCAATTCAGAGGAATAAAGGATTACAGAGCCAAATGTGCACCTCAAGAGATTTTAGGAGAATGCTTGAAACAAGTTCAAAATTTGAAAAAAATGCCTAAAACAGAAATATGTGTTGAATCTGATGTAAAAATAAATTCAAAAAGACTGCCATATTGAAAAAGTGGCTTGGAAACGAATTGGGTTGTCATCATTGGTGGGAACAAACCTCTGAAATTGCAGCCTCACTGTATCAGTGGTTTCTAAGGAGACAATGGGTGATCTTTTTGTTCCAAAGGGCAATAACTCTCCTTTTGCAATGATATAAGCAACAGTCCAGCCTGTCGCTTTCGGTCTGGTTCCTGGGTCAATGCGCACTACGACAACTAGTACAACTGGTAACATGTAGAGACGGAGCCAAGCTAAAGTGTTACCCTGTTGCACCTTCATTCAAAAACGGTCGTTTACAACTGAATATTTTTAACTAGCACACATTTAGTTATGATTTTTAGCTTAGAATACCAGCATTTGCTGAGTCATCAACTGAAAGACGAACTGTCAAGATGGAAGATAGCAGGAAAAATGCCATGAACAACAGTATATTGCCATGATATTTACTACGTCAGAAAACAGCGAGACATTCTGTCAATCTGGGCTAGCATGTCGCATTGATGAAATAATGCAAACTCATTTATTCATCAGCCTTTGTGTTACTTTCAGCTGCAGTTTCCAAGCATTCAAATCTTAACAAATAGTTCTCATACGACCATTGACTTCAATGTAATAAAATTGGAGACTTGTCTACATTTGCAGCACACAGACATCTTTGACAGGCCTTGTAAGCCACTGACCTGTAGTTAGTACATCCTTGCCTTTACAAATAGTTTAAGAAAAGTGAGTGAGTGAGTTGGGTTTAACGCCGCTTTTAACAGTATTACAGTTATATCGCGGAGTGTCAGCTTAATGTGGGAGGAAAGCCCGAAGTGATGCAGGTCTCAGACGTTAACCACTTCGGTAAAACCCACGAGCATGGGTATGGTGCTGAGAAACCTAGAAACATAATCGGGGCGAAGCGGGATTCGAACCCACAATCATAGGTTTCTGGCATGCGACTCGCTTCAAACCGCTATCTATACTATACAATATAAGCAGTCGTGGTCATCCCTGATGTATCATTGAATCCCGGAATATCTATTTCCGGACATGACAATAGATAAATCATTGTTTAGGCGAAAAGATATACTGTCCATACACCAGTGTGACCATGAAGGCTATACTGGTTAACTGTCCATAGGTGTGATAGTAACCTGTACTACTCGTTACACGCATACCACATGCGCTGTCAGTTTAAGGTTGGATCATCCAGGTCAGCACAACTAGCGGGTTAGTAAAGGGTAGATAGACTGAAAAAGATCTCTAATTGTATTTTGAGAGATCCCGCTACTAACTTTCATGAGTCCCTGTTTTTGAGCTGATATTAGTAAAATCTGGCTAAAGACAAAAGTTGTATCTACCAAGTTGTGTGGCTAGCACCCTCACAGCTGACCCCACGTGACGTCCCATAGTATCACATCACTGCTTGTATGGACATCTGAACTCTACGGGGAGGTAACAAAGCGATTGGAGGACACTTTAGATGAAGTCATGCAGGATAAGTGTCCAAACATAAAAAATATTTAAATTTTACTAATTTTTTAATCTTATCCTGCATTACTACTTAATGCATTTTTACTAGACAGAACGGAGGGGGTACTTTCAGATGTTGTAGACCAAAACTACCCACCAGTCAGGTTAACCAGATAGCATCCTGAGCGGAGGAAAACCGGAGACCACAGACCTTCCTGTCCGATGATGCCACATAAGGTCGAGTAGGAGTGATATGCAGTCATGGAACGGTAAAAGTAGAAAAAGGCTGACAGCTAAGTTCTCGATTCCGACACAAGTAACTGGAAGATGAATACTGGGCCCCCTAGTGGAGGTTGCAGGGACAGTTCCGAGGTGTGGTAATCAGGTTTGCCTTGGGTTGGTGATTTGTTGCGCAACCACCAGGAGACCGAAACTGTGAACCCCTTGCACATCCTCAAGAGCCACGTCTCAGAGATAATGGCTGTCGAAGACAGTGTCCAAGAGCCAGAAACAACCCTCCATAATAGACTGAATGGAACAATTGCTGTGAAGGGCCATAGTCAAAGCGATGGTTCGATTCTCATGAATGAATAGTTGTTTCCGAGATCCACGTTGTGTCTTGGATCGACGAAGGAAAACTTTTAGGGCGCACACAGGGCACAAAAGTAGTTCATAGTCATCTTTGGATCCCTCTATCATAAAGAGGAACCGGTGAAAGATCTGTCTGGCTGCCCTTGGAGTTGATTCTAAGCAATGAAATCCCAGCATAGACCGAGGTTGAAAGCAGTGTGCGCTCCGCATGAAACTCGCTGACTTGAGCCGCTGTAGCCAAGGCAAGTAGAAATACCGTCTTTTTGGTAAGATTAAGAAAGACACTGAGTCAAGTGGTTCAAAGGGGGTGGTACCTTGTGACTTGAGTACTATGTTCAAATCCCAGACAAGGGGATGAAACTTGGCACGTTAATCCTCAAGTTGACCTTTGCGGTGATTTCAACTGGAGGATTGAGTAATTGAAGTTCTCGGATCTTGGTTATTTTGCGATATGTGGGCACTGCCAGCGCCGAATTGAGGGCTACCATTGACTTCCCAGTATATGGAACTGAGGATATGTAGGTCCGTAGTTGGTAATTCTGACTGGTGGCAAATAGGTTGATAATAGGCAAGGCCAAATTGTTAGCAAACCAGGGTGAAGGCATCCACCAAGATATTTTGACAACCGGGGATGTGGTGAATGATGAACCTCTTGTTTAGTTGGTCCAATAGCTGGAAAAACAGAAGGTTTGTGACAGCAGGGTCTGGGACAATGAGTCCCCTGGTTGCACAGACACCAAGCATCTGTAATGTTGTCAGTGGATATGGAAAGCACTTGACGTTGAAACCGGTACTTCCAATGGGAGATGGCCCGGAGGAGTGCTTCTAACTCCAAACTGTTTATGTGCCATTGGAGTTGCTCGTTTGACCACTGCCCAGAGGCAGTCTGATCCTCCAGATGTGCCCCCCAACCCTGTCGTGATGTTTCAATAAACAGGTGGAGAGAGAGCTTGTGCACTGCCAATCTCACTGTCCATCATCGAAGGTACGGGTAGAGGTGAGTTGGGAGTACTATTTAAATCCACGGGTTCTGCAGACAAATAAACGGGGCTAAAACTGTTGTAGTGGATGTAGTCGGCCTCTGGGTGTTAGATCCTGAACCGACTTGAGAAGGTCCAACAACACCTGCCACTGCCGTAGAGTGCAAGCTTGGGGAAGGGCCGGTAGTAAATGGTGTTGAATTTTTTGCCACCTGTTGTCCGGTACTAGGAGGAGATCCTGGTCCATGCAAAACAGGCCGCCTATGAATTGGAGCTCGCAAGATGGGGTGAGTTCTGACTTTGGCTCGTTGATGATCCATCCCAGCTGTGTGAGCAGATGACGCATGAAATCCCTTGACGTAGAAGGGTTTCCGTGTCTTGGTGGTAAGACTCGAACTGAACGTTCCTCAGGTGTAGGTATGTGGTAATTGGCTTGATGATGCGGGTATATAACCATGAGGCCATAAAAATGCTAAATGGGCAGACCTCCCACTTGTAGTGGATACCCTGGAAGTAGAACCTGAGGAACTTCCTGCAGCTGGTTTCGATGACATAAGCCAGTGACACAGGTAACTGTAGCTGCAGTCAGGCGTGAAAGCATTAGACAATGGGGGTGAGTAAGGATAAGAATTTATGGATGAACAACTTCTTTATTACAATAAAGAGCGATGTTTCGGTGTAGGTTGTAACACCGTTATCAAGCAAGTGATATACAGAGTGTGGTTGACAAGTATCGGTATATATACAAGTATGATCTTAATTGTAATAAAGAAGTTGTTCATCCATAAATTCTAATCCTTACTTATTACTCCAACTTCTGAATGCAAATCAAAGAAATTGGGGTGAGGAGAGGCACTGTTCCATCAGTGAAGATTCCGGCATCGTTGCAGATAAAACCTCTGTGTTGTCGTGAACGGCCATCGCCAAAGTCAGAGAAGTGTCCCTCTGGTCAGTCATTTGGTGTCGTCTGGGGACATGTAGGGTGTATCTCTTTCCCAAGACTTTACTAAGTGAGAGATTGTGACAAAAATCACACCTAGACGACAAGGAACAAGGCAAAGTACAATTGGCGCAATGGGGGTGCAGATACTTGGCTGATTTGGGATCGAGAACAACGCGATCTATAAATATCACACAACCAAACCTCAAGAGCCAAAAGGTGCAGTT